AAGTAGTGAGGAAATGTCCTAAACATCATTCTAATAGAAGTTCTTGATTTGGAACTTTATTTCCAGTTTGGGAACAATTCTAGCCCAAGTTTTGTTCTTTTGGACCTTAAAATATCCACAATCATTTGTAGAATAATAGGATTCCTTAAAGAAGGGGTCATGTCCTAAAGTATTCTCTTTAAAGATAAGCCACAAACTGGGGAAGAAAGGAAAAAACAAATTTTTTGTGGCTAAAAAGCAATTTAAGCTTTCAGAGAATAATTATATAAAAATTAGGCTAGTAGTAATTCAGAAATCACAGGGCTTTATATCTGGAAGACACTTTAGAGATCAAGTCTAATTTCTTCATTTCCCAGATGAGTAAACTAGGTCGAGATTGGCTACAGGACTTGCTTTGACTGCAGAGTTGGTTAGGGACTAAACCTAATACCAAACTACAACTCTTTCCCATTGTTCCAGAATGACTTAATCCAGTCCAAAGCCAGGTATGGGGCAAGACCTAGGTCATGGAATTGACTGGATATGTTAGCATGCCAAAAAAGATAAATAAATAAAGTAACAACAACAACAAAAAAAAAGAAGGTATTTGGAGAATTACTTTTATTGCTTCTAATAAGAATGAGGATTATTCAATACATTTATAATTAAACTTACTACATATATTTTACTAGAGTTTCACCTAAACTTGTAATTATCTTTAAAATACCTTATCTTTAACTTTTTATTTAGATCCTTAGATATCAAAGATAACCCAGTATCAAAATTTGTGTACTTCTACCATAGTACTTATCATAATTTGCTGCAAGTTTTAATTTAGTGTATCTTCACTTCCCCAAACCTCAAGCATTTTGAAGACAGAGCCTCAATTTTATTTCATTCTGTATTTTCTTGACCTATTGCAGTTCTTGGTACACACTAAGTCCATAAAAAAGTGAAATAAGAAAGAGCTTGAGTGGAAATGTAAATGGATTGTAGACACAGCTGACTTAAGAATTTGCTGTACTATCTTAGATAAATCACATTACCTTTACGAGCCTTGCATTTCCCATGTATGTAATGAGTAATTTTTTTTTTTTTCAGGAGATAGATCTGGAACCAATAGATGGAAACTATAAAGACATTCTCAGCTCATTGCAAGAAAAACTCTTTCTAATAAGTTAAGTTTTCCAAAGCTGTGCTTGTTTGTTTCCTAAAACAGAATTCTTAACAAATGGAAGACATCAATCATAGGCTTAATGAACATGTAGCGGAAGAGTTAAGTATTAAAACAATTAAATGATGGAAAGATGCTTGGGGTACAACTTCTTTATAATCTGAGATCTGGTGATGCCATGGGATTATTGTGGCACTGCAAGATTATGTGTATAGTGTGATGAACTGCAGGACACGCTACCCCAAAATATAGTACCTTGGAAATGCGGAAAACCTCAAAAGCAGAAAGGTCTGTCTGAACTTCTATCACCCCTGCTCTTTTGAAGACCCTCATGGGACAGGTATCCAGTCCTATACCCAGAGCAAAGGCATATTGCACAAAAATGCCAAAAGGAATTTTTGATCCTTTATGGTGTGGTAATGGTTTGGTTTATTACCATTACCAATGGTTAATATTAGGTTATATTCATTTTTATTCAATCATACTTAACACGTCTGTTCATTCTTAATCAAACCTGAACATAAAAATACACATTTTTTCCTGGGTCTTTGAGTCTTCCTTTTGGAAAGCTCTCACATTATGTAAAGCTCTGGTTAAATAAATAATTATGCTTATCTATTGTTAATGTCTCTGTCTTTTGTTATAGGGTGTCAGCCATGAAACTTGCGATGGGCAAGAAAAATATATCACTTGTTCTCTCCTAAAAGCACAAACATGAAACACATTGGGACTCGGCCTCCAATAATGCCACCAAGAAAACACCCACTTTACTTCTTTGTATAACATTTTACTCAAATTCTAGGTGATGACATTAATAATAGCTTTTTAATCTACTACCTGGATTTGTTGTAAGGATAGTAAATTTCAACATACATTGAAAATTAATAGTACCAAAAGAAAACAAGGTGATATAATTAAAAGTATTTCAACAGTATTCTCTCCTGTTCCCTACAGAAAATATAAATTATGTTAAATCAACTGTATAGACCACCCCTTGAATGGAAGGATTTAATAATGGTTTGAAAAACAACATATCACCATCTGTTTAGCCTGATGTACTCCTGACTATGTTTGGCTGCAGTTGAAATTAGCTTTTAAAAAATTTTATTGATATGAACATTTAATAGCTTTATCTTTTTAATTGTATGTTTGCCAGTTTCTCAGTATTACTACAGCATAGAATTTCAGATTTATCTCTCATCGCTTACACACTTCACCCACGATGAGGTAAGATTCTCCATCTCCAGCCATATGTAACTAAAAATGTTCTATTAATATGCTGTATTGCTCAGCTATTGCCACAATAATGCTACAAGACAAACCACCGCAAACTTAGTGTCTTAAAGCAACTAGTGTTCATTATTTTTCTAGTTCACAAATCTGTGTGGTGTCTGTAGCAGATCTGTTCCATGGGTAGGTAGACTGGGCTTTCTTTCTTTCTTTGGGTTGGGTTTAGTTCTTTTCACAGGTTTTCTCAATCACTGAGGACCAAGGGCTATCTGCAGTATTCCCTTTTCTTGAGAAGTAGCACAAGTACACTTAATGCTTCTAAAGGCCTTGGACCACGACTAGCAGATTTTCTCATCTGCCTGCATTCCATTGGACTAAACAGTGACCTAGCCAAGTCTACATCAGTAGAAAGGAGAAATATATTGGCTATTCATCATTATATTGCCACCACACTTGGGACTAGTAAGTCTACATAAATACTGTAGACTGAATGAATATTCAATAAATGAAAATTTCACTTTCTACTAAAGCATAATTCTAGTTGAGTGTTTCCAATAACACAATTTTGCTATTTCCCAGAGCAGCCATTTTTTTTATTTGAGCATTTTAGTTGCTACAAACCCTCTATTATCATGAATAAAATTTAACCTACTCAGTGTTCTTCCAATTAGATCTCTAGTTTCCACTTAAAAACAAGTACACTTCCTCTTAGATAAGACAGCCCTTTCAAATAATTGAAATAATTTTTCCATTCTATATATTCCCAGTAGCTTCAACAGTGCTAACCCATAAGTCCATTGTCCAAATGTTTCTAGAAGCAAATTCATCTGTTAATACATAGATTTCAAATAATCTTCAAATAACTCATAAATATAGAAAGATATCACCTATTTCTAGTTGCTTATACACTATCAATATTCCAATTATGCAGATATTTTAAAACTAGTAACATAAAGTGATGAAAAAATACAATGTTTTAAAATAATGAAAATCTTTAAGTACAAAGGGAAATAATATAATGAAGATTTGTGTATACATGATGTAGGTCTTCAACTTAATAATGTCCTATATTTAATCAGAACTCTAATAGAGCATGAATCATTACATGTATAGATAAAATCTACTTTGTATTTCCCCCTTTTCTTAACTTTTGCCCTTTCCCCCATAAGAAGTAATGACTTGCTTAAATATTTTATAAAAATTTACCACATTCTAAGCCACAACCAAAAATTCTATATACATCAAATAATCAATGTTTTACAGACTACATTATTTACATTTTGATCTGAAATCAATAAAAAGTTATAAACAGGATGTGTATGTGAAACAATGTGTACTTTTGTAATGACTGCAGTATTCTGTTTAAGTTAAATGTGTTTACAAATCTACAACTACACAGCTTTTTAATCTAACCCCAACAGAAGTGCATTAAAACTTTCTACTATATAAAATTTTCTATTTGTAAATGATTTACAGTTCTCTTCATTTGCCTTAAATATTACAGATTAGAATTTTAGAATATTGTGAAGATTTTTTTACAAACTGACACTTCTACACTTTAATAATATTTTTGCATAACATCTATTTGCCTTATATTAATACATTTATACTTGCTTTGACTTTGGCTACTTTTGCCTACCTTTTTAATTCCTTATTTGATTTTTCATCTTTCTGTACACTTACGTCTCCTTTAACTCAAATATAGGTTAGTTTTATTCTTTTGTTCAATATGATACTGACAATATTTGCCTATTTTAGGAGAGAATTTTTAATTTTGATTTCTGATGTTTTGACATGTATCTGTTATACTTCCTTGTTACCTTTTTATTCTTTCTTTTTTGTCTTATATTGTATTAACAACTTTTTATTTTTTCTTCTCTTTTTCCTGTGCTTGTATCAAATTATATGGTTTATGTCTAGCACTTAATATATGAGTTCATATTTTTAACACAATCATTTTGAAAGTATGAAGTTAAATAAAATATCCATGCTTCTTCAAAATACATCTAGGACTTGGAGATGTTTTAAATCTTACACCTTTCCTCACAACTTACTTCTAATTGTGATGTCGTATTTTAGTTCTATTTTTATATCACAAAAAATTATTTCTCTTTCTCCTCCTCCTCCTTCATTTTCTTCTTCCCTACAGGTTTGCAAACTAACGTATTAGACCATACTAAATCTTAGTTATGTCCCTTATTCCATCAGGCTCCTTAGCTTTAGTTCCATGAGCACATCTGCTAAGCAGATCTTCCTTTACATTCACTAAAATTCTCTAATAGAAATTATTATCACATCAGGATCTGTGTCAGAGTTTTGTGTAAACCTGAGGGAAAATAATAAAGTATTTTTAAATTTTATAATTTCATTGGCAATATAACACCTACATGGACTCTTTTATTTTTAGAAAATTGAGGGAATTTGGAAATATTCTGGTTGGTAATGAGTAATGGGTCACATTTAATGTTGATTATTTTTAAATTTAATTCCTGACTGTTATCACAAATTTATTCTTCTTCTGCTTGAATAAAGTCATCTTCTCCTTTGTGGTAAATATATTTGAAGTTAAAGCATAAAATAAACTCAGAGATCAGAGAGGTTTAAGAACATCACCTACCTGGCCAGCAGTGTCCAAGATGTCCAAATAAGCTGGCTCATTGTCAATCCTGACCTGGGTCTTATAAGCATCTTCTGAAAAACACAAGACAACATTTACATTTAAATGTGACAGGAAAGGCATTACTAATTTTTAGATTTCATATAGAAAAATTTCTAAGTTACTAAGTAAGATAATCAGAAATATTACTCAAATAACATATACAGATTGAAAAGGATGTAAATCGGGAAAATTATAGGAGAAAGTGTTTCTGCTTATGGTGAAACCAAGTAGATTTCTCTTTCATCAGGAAAATTTTATGATCTGCGGTGCCCTAGTGGTGTTACCTAGAGAAAAACATGGAACAAATGTTATTAGTTGTTTCCTAACAATGCAGGGCAAAACAGCATCCTATCATCTTAATGGTAAAGGCCTGGATGCTTTTATTAGAAGATCAGGAGTAAGATAAGATTCCCTGCTCTCACTTCCTTTGTTTAACATAGTCCTAGAAGTCACAGCCAGAGCAATTAGGCAAGAAGAAAAAGTAAAATCATCCCAATTGGAAAAGGAGTAAAATTATCTCTGTTCACAGACAACATGATCTTATATGTAGAACCCTAAAGATTACATACATGCAAACCCTAAATGAATTCAGCAAAGTTGTAGAATATAAAGTCAACAAGCAAAAATAAGATATGTTTCTATCGACTAATAATAATATGAAAAGACAATTAAGAAATCAATTTCATTTATAATGGCATCAAAATTAATTAAATACTTAGAATTAACAAAGGATGTGAAAACTTCTACATTGAAAATGGTAAAATGTTGCTGAGAGAAATTAAAGAAGGCACAAAATGTTGAAAGACATTTGATATTTATGAACTGAAAGACTGTTAAAATGTTCACACCCGCCAAAGGAATCTACAGAGTTAATGCTGGGTTAAACGGTAATTCTGTTTTTAGTTATTTGAGAAATTAACACACCACTTTCCACAATGGCTGGACTAATTTTCACTTTCAGCAGCGGTGTATAAGCATTCCCTCTTATCTGCAACCTCACTGGCATCTGCTATTTTTTTTTTTTTTTTTTTACTTTTAAGTAATGGCCATTCTGACTGGTGTGAGATGGTATCTCGTTGGGTTTTTTGTTTGCATTCCTCTACTGATTAGTGATGATGACATAAAGGGATGTAGAATTTTATCAAAAGTCTTTTCCACATCTATTGAGATAAATAACCATGTGGGTTTTGTTTTTAGTTCTATTTATACAATGAATCACACTTATTGATTTGTATACGTTGAGCCAAACTTACATCCCAGGGATGAAGCCTACTTGATCATGATGGATCCGCTTTTTGATGTGCTGCTGGATTTAGTTTGCTAGGATGTTGTTGAGGAGTTTTGCATATGGATGAACAAACCATAGCTGAGAGTGTGGGATCCAGGTCATGGGCTGCTTTATAGTACACAGCCAGGACCAAGGTCAGTGGGCCTGTTACTCAAGACAGAGAGGACCCTGAGCAGATAGTGATGATGGCAAGGTTAAGGCCAAATTTAAATATAGCTGAGTCCACAGGGAGATGAGGCTGTCTTTGGGTCTATAATTGGGAAGAGAGTAAGCGAGCCTGCCACCTGGATTTTGGCCTGCCTTCTCAAAATCTTCATCCTTGGTCTGGGGCTCCACTAGAGTTTCACAACTTCCTACCTAGATCCCCAAGCTCCCACCATGTTCCCACAAAGTCATTTGTGAATGGCTGTCAAATTATTGTTGCTATGGGGGAATATGAGCGGGAGATCTCCTATTCTGCCATCTTGCTGACATCATGTACCCCAATTCAAGATCTGTCTTCTATTTTAACGTAAGCATCTACAGTTAGACATTTCCATTTTAGCACTGCTTTTGCTACATCCTATCAGTTTTAGAATGCTGTTTTCATTTTCATGCAGTTCTGAATATTTTCTAATTTCCCTTGAGATTTCTTCTTGAACTCATTCGCAGTTTGAGAATTTGTTGCTTAATTTCCACATATTGTAAATCTTTCAGTTTTCTTTCAGTTGTTGATTTCTAGTTTTATCCCATTGTGATTGTAAAAGACACTTTTTATCCTTTGAATATTACTTCCTACTTATACTTGAAAGATAAAGGAGCACTTAAATTGAATAGGAGGAGTTAAGAGAAAGTGAAGCAAGAGAGAGAGAGAGAAAAAAAAAAGCAGATCAGAATCCCAAATGTTGAAAAGAGTATTGTTGAACAACAACAATAAAAACTTAATTTCAGTGTGGCTAAATCCTAGAGTTTAGAGAAGAAATGTTGACAAAATGTAAGAGATAAATCAGATTAACTTATGAATATATTTAAAAGAGTCATGTATTTGAATTAGGTATCTGAAGTCAGACTGCCTGGGTTTAAACCCTGGTTCCAGAATTACTAGCTGTCAGATTTTAGGAAAATCACTTGACATCTCTAAAATGTAGATGTCTCATTTGTAAAGGTACAATTATTTGTATTTGGGTCATGGAGTTGTTTGAAGGATTAAATGATATAAGGGGAGGAAGTCACCTTATATTTTGTGTGTAATAAATACAAGAGTGTCTTGTATTTAAAAAAAGACTAATAAAGGATAAATATGTTCAGTATTATTAAGAAATGTGGAGTTCATTATAATGCCATCTTCAAATATGCATTTTAAAATGCTCACTCTGTCTGAAGTGTGGTGAGTGAATTGCAAGGCGGAAGACTAGAGGCACAGAAAGAAGATTAAGTAGATATGTAGTAATCCAGGTGAGAAATAATGTGTAAGATAATGGCATTAGGGTTGGAGGAAAGTTGGCAGATTTGCAAGATGTTTAGAAGGTAGAAACTATAGCATTTAATGACTAATCATATGAGAAAACAAGAAAGAGGAAGGTAGAAGAGAAGCTCTCAGACTTCTTGCATTTGAAGTTGGGCAGATGGGCATGACATTTCCTGAAAGGGGAGGCAGAAGGATAACCTCATGTTTAATTTTAGAAATGTAGACTTTGCCTTGCCTGTGGCTCATTCAAGTGAAGACAATAAAGAAACAGTTATCTGGGCCTGAAGCTCTGGATAAAGCTCTAAGGCTCTTCTTTCATTGTATTCATTGATGGTCTTATTCATGCCAATCTTACTATACATAGCCGGTTAAATATCTATACTTCTGTAAAACACAGTTTTTACATTATCTGTAAAACACAGCTGGACCTCCTGAAACTGGAAGTCACAAACTCCTAGAGTCTGGCTGCAATCTACATTTTGTTTTATGTAGCATTTATATTATAAGCAAAGAGCAAACTGAATCACTGCTAAAAGATTTTAGAACATCATCTGATTTTGGCACAACTCAATAATTATTCATACTATTGATTGTGAGCCACAAGTAAACAAATGAATTATTTTCAGAAACTGTTGTTGTAGAAAGTAGTAATGATCAACCACAGGAGGCATTTTTCCAATGCATAATGCTGAGCAACTCTCACAAATCAGATTATTGCTAGCTGCGGGAGATATGAAGACACACAAAAACACACATGGGCACTTACAATCATGGTCTCTACTCTCAAGGGGTTTGTAAAATCATGGTGGGAGACATACATATAAACACACATATACAATGAGATGTTAAAATCACAAAATGTATAAGAGCATAAATCCCACTTCAAGGAAATTCATTCCTTATGACTGTGCTCCAGAAGGCAGAAGCTGTGGAAAGTATGACTTGCAGGGTGCTCCATCTAGTATGATTTTAGCAACTCTCAGCCATTCTAAATGTATTCAGCATATGGCCAACCACACAATTTTTCTATTTTCTATTCCATTGCTCTTTGTACATTCACTGATCTTCCTCTCACAAAAGAGAAATCTTGTGGAATCACTTGCAATTTATTTGAAGATGCATGGGGTTGTTTTTCAATTTCATAGGGAAATAAGAATAGTTACTCTGAAAAGGACTCTGTGACCCAAGGATTATAAGTGAATCTTTCAGATTTTGTGTTTGTTTATTTAAACTCAAAGCCCCAAAGAAGAGCCTGCTGAGGCCAGGGGCACGCTGAGTAATCTAGGCGAGAACTCCTCTGTGTGATTATTTGAGCTCTAGATAAACCCAGCACATGAAACGTATATCAAATAAAAGCTTCTCTTGGGATCAGAAAACCCCTTCAAAGGGACTTGATGAGAATTGGCTCGAAACTAAAGACAGACCTTTTATCCAAGGTTTTTTTTTTCTCTCTTTTAAAAAGTGTCTATCAGAGTACACATTTCATTGTGGGGAATCTAGGTCACCTGCCTGGCCTCCATAGAAACTAATCCTTTTCATTTCCTCCCCATAAACAATCTTTCTGTTTCCATTCATTCACTTCCTTTGAGACCACCCATGCAGAAATACACTGTCAGAAATACTCTCTTGAATGCATATAAACACTTCCCTGAATTTCAATCATCTTCCTATAGACCCAATCCTGAAGTGAACTCATTTATCTTCCCAAGCATGAGGCCAAATGTATACAAAGCTTTATCAGGCAGAAATGGTAGCAGCTGCCTGCTATATTATTTGCGCAGAAAAGCACACTGGGACTGCATTCTTGGAGGCACTACTACCTTAAAATTTATCTCAAAGTACTAATGTTTAATTTGAGATCATTTCTTCTCAGGATATATCTTCTCCACTGTCCCTCTTCAGCAGAATTGCATAAGAAGAAATCACTAAAGTCCTGTATTAAAGCCTCAAATCTATCACTAAATATCTGTTATTGGTAAGCCATGAAACCTTATTTTTAAGATGGCAATAATAGTAAACACTAGTCAATGCATGGGAGCTCTATCAGGATCAATAAAAGTAGCACATAAGATAGTGCTTTTGAAAAAAGAAAACAAAATTCAAACTCAAGGAATATTATGTTGTGAGTTTTATTTAGCACTGCTTCAAATTAGCCATGAAACTAAATTAAAACAAAATTATTTGTGCTATTTATATTTACCCATGTGAAAATGTTTTTCCCAAGCAAATCATAAACATTTTGGCAAGATATGTTTGCAATAAAAACCAGAAATATAAAGTTTTTGATTAGTTAAAAA